TTATAAATATTTTTAAGAAGAATAGTTTTAATATAATAACTAAATAGATTAATAATTATTACTTTTTTATTTATAATATAATTAATAAGAGACTAATTAAGGTTAAATAGATAAGTAGTTATATAAACTCTACTAATAGTCTAATAAAGCCTCTAGATTAAGTAAAGTATATTATATTTAAAGAACTAGTTAATCTTTAAAAAGTAGTAATATTAATCTATATTAAGAATAAATTAAATAAGGAATAATTAATAATTAATAAGTAAATAATCCTCTTTTTTCTATTATTATATGCTTTAATTAATATTAAATAAGAGGTTAGCTAGTCTAAATAGGTGCTTAATAAAAAAGAGTATATTAAAGATATATATTTAATTAAGCTTAATATTATTTTATTTAGTATGGCTACACTATATAACTACCTGCTTTATATTTAAGCTATAGCAGTAATAGTAACCATTAGCCATCTCTTCCCTTTTCTAGGCCTGCTAGGCCAACAATAACTAATAAAAATATTAATAAGAAATAATTAATATAGAGTTAAGTAAATAATATAAAGAGAAACTATATATCTAATAATAGATATCTATATATCTATTATAGTCAATAATAATTTAGCTAATAGCTACTTTTAATTATTTTATAAAATATTATACTAATAGTTTAAAAACTTATAATAATAATAAATAAGATAAAGAATTATTAAATAATAAGTTATATTAGGGTGATGCCCCAGGATGAGCTTAGTGAAATAATAATAGATAAATAGATAATGCTATCCATGATGTGTGCAGGCGAGAAAGAAGAGGCAAGCAGGATGGCGCTAAGCCTAACTAGGCAGACACCTCCAACATTGGATAGACCACCTAGGCTATGCGAGACTAAATAAGTAACTACCTGGTTCTTCAGATCACTTCGGCTTCAGACTCCAGGCCGGAAAGCCGCTCATTAGAAAACCCATAAAGTCGATTAAATAACTCGGCCTCCATTCGCTCTTCAGGCCGCGGACCTTGACGGATTTCACCCATCATATCGGTTCCAGGCGGGAAGTCAAACTCAAAAGATGGTTCACCAGCGCCACGCATATTGCAAAGTACAGCTTGCTCGTAATGCCAGCGCAGAAGGGCATCAAGAATACCCAAGGAATCATTAGGCTGCCGACACGCAGTATCAAGAATATTACCGTGAAATTTCCATGCACCCGGCATAAAAGCCTGGACTTGATAGCCATTGTGTGGGTTGACTGCAAGGGAGTAGTCATCCCAAAGACGATGTATTTTCGAATCAAGAAGCAGCCCATTTTGGGGGGAATTGACTCCCGGTGGATCATTATGCGTGATGAGCTGTGTGTAGCCCATACTGATGAAGATGTTATCTAAGGCGAGGGGGAAAACATGGGCGGCTTCGAAGCCAACCCATCTATCAAGGTGAACTTCCAAATTTGATTCACCGCTTATCACGCATTTTTGGTCTCGTCTACGTACTTGGTCCCTAAAAGCCCGATCTCGAAGCGTTGTCGATAGCGAGAGGGTTCGCGGGAAGAATCTCTCATCACTGACGCAGACCCGTTCTCCAGATATGTGGGGCGTGAGAATGTAGCGACCATGTTCTAGAGTTTCGTGTGTAGCAGTAATAGGAGAGCTTGAGGCATATAGCCTTGTTTTGAATCCACCTGGAGCAGAGAACACAACATATAGCATGTCGAGAAACTGGGCCTTGGTGAGGCTATTTGCGGCGCAAAGTCCGCCTTGGATTTGGCCTGGGGCAGATGAGAATTCTACCCAGACATTACGCCCCCGAGAGCGAGCTGTATTCATTGTTGTAGGGTTATCTGCCTGAGGGTTAAAATTGGGCTTAAAATAGTAGGATTAGAAGCAGATTCAATTTACCAGAGTGATGGTGTTGTAGGGGGTATTTAGCAATGTAGTATGATAAAATGCCAACCGAGTGAAGAGGTAATGTGAGAAATAGTCTGGATCAATAATGAGAAGAAGGAGCACATGTGCATTGTACTACACAGGGATGGTTAAAGATGATGTCAGGGTTGCGTACCCAACTAGGCTTAGCGTCGCATCGCTTGGCGCGGCCGCACCGCACAACCACCTGCTTCGCGGCCGAGCCGTAGCAGCAATAGCAACCATCAGCGGGAAGTGATACGAGTACAGCCCCCAGCTATATAGGTACAGCCCCCAGCTATAGGCGTACAGCCCTTACCTTCTATTTATAGTTAGTATTAGTATATAGACAGCCTAGCATATACTACTCTATATACTTTATAATTTATAAAGATTAATTATAGCCTATCTATAAATTTAGTACTAGAGTCTAATAATATTAATAAGATTAAGTATAACTATTATAAATATAAGAGAGCTAATAATAATAGTAGTAGAATAAAGACTTATACTTATAGATATAGGTTAATAAAGTAGATACAGCTCTAGATAAGAATATCTTATCTATTAGGCCCCTAGCCCTACTCTTAGTTATTTATTAGTAACTACTATAGGCTTATATAATCCTAATCTTAGATACTAACTAATAATTATTATGAATTAATATAGGACTTAACCTAGGAATTAGCCTAGGAATCAGCCTAGGAATTAGCCTAGAAATTAACCTAGGAATTAACCTAAGAATTAGTAGAGAAATTCATATAGAAATCACCTAGAGATTAATATAGGGATCACCTTAGTATTAATAGAAGAATCAATACTAGAATTAATTATAAGAATTAAGTATAGGTAGTCTAACTATAAATGAAAGCTAAGGGCTGTACGCCTATGGCTAGAGACTAGAGTCTATACCCATATAGCTAGGGGCTGTACACGTATCACTCTCCCCATCAGCAATCTCTTCCCTTTCTAGGCCTGCTTGGCCAATATATATATAGCCATGCACTGTTGTACAGTTTAGGGTGGCATAATTCTGCTATTTTTAGTTCCTATAGTTCCTTTATTAGGTTTTCCTCTACCTCTAGCCCCCATCGTCTCCGTCAAGATTGCGAGGTTCAACGCTTATTATATAATATATTAAAATTAAAATTATATTCAATTATAATTTTCTGTAACTTGTTCTTAATATTTAAAATTTATATATTATATCTACTTTAATTCTTAAGGACCCTTATCAAGTTATTTATTTCATTATATATAAGACTTATATTAATAAAGTATTTATAATAATTTAAAAATAATATTTTATTTAAAGTATATTATATAAAATAATCTATGGTAAATTGTCTCTTAATGTATTATAAGTATACCTATAATATTATAATTAATTAAAAAGGTTTATTCATTGAATAATACTTTAGCTATATAAATAAGACTATTAATATTTAATCTATTATTATTATTATTATTATTTAAATTTAACTTTAAGTTCTTCATAACTCTTATAATAAGTATTTAATTACTCTTCAATTTATTAATCTTATTTATCTAAATAAAGTGATTATTCTTTAATTTAGTTATAAAAATAATAATTATAATATAAGATCTTATAATAGTTTTAATATGAAGATTTATAATATTATAACTTTTCATAAGATTTTAAATAAATTCTTAAATTATTAAATGTTGGCCTCACAGGCCTGGAAAAGGGAAGAGATGACTAATGGTTGTTATTACTACTATAGCTTAAATATAAAGTAGATAATTATATAGTATAGCCACACTAAATAAGGTAATATTAAGCCTAATTAAATATATATCTTTAATATACTCTTTTTTATTAAGCACCTATTTAGACTAGCTAATCTCTTATTTAATATTAATTAAAGCATATAATAATAGAAAAAAGAGGATTATTTACTTATTAATTATTAATTATTCCTTATTTAATTTATTCTTAATATAGATTAATATTACTACTTTTTAAAGATTAACTAGTTCTTTAAATATAATATACTTTACTTAATCTAGAGGCTTTATTAAACTATTAATAAGGTTTATATAATTACTTATTTATTTAACCTTAATTAGGCCCTTATTAATTATATTATAAATAAAAAATAATAATTATTAATCTATTTAATTA